GTTTCTGCTCGGCGATTCTGCATTGTTGTGTATCTCAAAGGCCACCTTGGAGGACACTTACCTGAAGATCGGGGGGTGGGTGCTGAATGATTCTTAACGTTAAAAGTAATTCTGTCAAAACTTTTGATCACCTGCAGAGACTTATTATTCGACACTCCACTCAAAACTTTTGTATGATCTTTTGATCTCTCTGCCGTTTATCTCTCTGCTACAAATTCTGTGTCTATGTGCTTCTCCTAAAGCTTGTGATTCCAAATAAATCTGTTGGACGCGAACCCGGTGTCATGTGACTTCTGACTTTGTCCACCCCAGTCGAACACCAGCACCTCCACGTCATTGTACGGTTGAAGCAACACTTCCCCATGTTTATACTCCATGCTTTTAGCAATAAATGTCTTTCTTATTACTTGCCGTAACAGCATGCTAGATTTCTGAGATTCATGCAAAAGGACATTCAGATCCCTCTGCACTAATAAATTTTTAATTTTCTCTCCCATTCAGATGGTAAGTTGCCTTTTTCAATTCTTCTGACTACAATGGATAGCCCCATTGTTGATGTGACTGAGCCACACACATTTCAGTGTCAAATGGAGGGGGTCCTCAATTTGATCTGTTTTGCTTTCAATTTGCAAATGAGTCAGACACAATAGTACATTTGCCACAATGTAAAATTGCTGGGTTTGCACCCCACAGCGATTTTCACCCTGTTTGGACTGTTTTTGAAACCTGTTGCAAGTTGCTGACCACTTCACTAACTTACCTCTGCTGCTGGGAACTGCTGGAAGAATCAGCTAGAGAAAATAAGAGAGAGAAAACATGGGAATGTTTTACTGTAAATATTTGGCTTCATCTGTTTGCAAATGAATTTGATTTCTTTGACTGATGCGCAAGTAGCAATAATTCCAATTTTAATCTTTAGTTTACATCTGTGCTGACCATTTTTTTGAACACAACACATTACTTTGTCTGTCTTCCCTTGTAATTCCAGCTGCTACTCATTCAGCCTGCTCACACCCTCACAAAGTACATTCACTCGTGGCATATGGACGTCACCGGCTGGGCCCAGCATTTATTGTCCCTGTCCCTACTTGACCCCTTGAGAAGGTCGTGGTGAGCTGACTTCTTGAACCGCTGCAATCCGTATGCTGTATGTCGACACACAATGCCCTTGGGGAGGGAATTCCAGGATTTACTGACCCAGAGACACTGAAGAAATGGCTGATACATTTTAAAGTCAGAATGGGGAGTGCCTCAGAAGGGGATTTGTAGGAGGTAGTGTTCCTATGTATCTGCTGCACTTGTCCTTCTAGATGAAAATGGCCATGGGTTTGGAAGGTGCTGTCTCAGCATCTCTGGTGAATTTCTCCAGTGCATCTTATAGATGGTACACACTGCTGCAGCTGAATGTCAGTGGTGGAGGGATTGGATGCTCGTGGATGTAGTGCCTGTGAGTGAGTGTGTGTGAGTGTGAGCGAGAGAGAGAGAGATTTTGTCTGTGAGAAAGTATGTGTCAATAAGAGTGTGCCTCTCTCTCACACATACACACTCACATTCAATTATACTCTCGCTTACATACATTCACCGTCACACACACCCTCAAATACAAATGAGCAACATTACTTTGAAACCCACATTGAGTCGTGACTGGAGATCAATCACTGATTATCTGCCGGAGTGTCTCACCCACCTTGTTTCCTGTTCCCGAGTTTGATGGGAAGCAGTGCGAGGAGAGAAAGGATCAGAAACAGTGGGACAGTAAGTGCTGCCATCTCAGCGCTGTGTGCCTCTGCTGGATTCAGAGAGGGATTTCCTGTCAATAACATCATTCATTCACCAAATGTCAACACCAGTGTTCCCTGTTACCCTCAACCCCGGCCAGCACCCGTCCACTTGGAGTGAAACCCTCATGCCTGTAAAATTCCCCTCCAAACCCTCACCATCACAGTGGCATCATTGTTTCTGTGCAGCCTGTATCATTCACAAAATCCCACCAATCCAACTCAGACTATTTGGTGCAAAATTCAAAAGATCGTTCTGCACTACTCTCCCTAAATTGTCGATTAGAAATTGTTGTCCCTCATTTTTCCTACCACTATATATCAAGGCAAAAGTTCCCTTTGTCCACAACCTCTCAGTGGCAACTGGGTCATTCAGAGAGAAACATCGAAAATAGCTTCAGGAGTTGGCCAGTCAGCCCTTCCAGCCTGCTGTGCCCATTCGATAGGATCTTGGCTGATCATCCAACTCAGTCCCCTGTCCCCCTGCACTCTCTCCCTTTAGCCCCTAAGAACACTATCCAACTCCTTCCTGAACAACATTTAATGTTCTGGCCCCAACCACTTTCTGTGGCAGAAAATTCCACAGGCTTCCCACTCTCTGGGTAAAGACATTTCTCCTCATCTCAGTCCTGCCCCATCTCAATTAGGCTATGACTCCCTGTTTGCAGACTCCCTGTTTGCAGACTCCCCAGTTATTGGGAACAGCCTTCCTGCCAGTCCTGTTAGGATTTCATGGGTTTCTATGAGACCTCCCCGCTTCATTGTTCTAAACTCCAGTGATCCAGCCTCCCTTCATCCATTAGTCCTACCATCCCAGGAATCAGGCTGGGAAATCTTCACTGCACTCCCTCCGTAGTGAGAACATTCTTCCTCAGAGAAGGAGACCCCAAACTGCACATACAATACTGCAGGGTGTGCTGTACAGTTGCAGCAAGACATCCCTGACATCCCTGTTCCTGATCTTGAATCCTCTCGCTAAGAAGCTCTCCCTTATCTGATGAAGGATGTTTCTCCCTCTCTCCACAGATGCTGCGAGACCCGGTGAGTTTTTTCCGGCATTTTCTGTATTTATAACCAGTAACATTAACTCTGTTACTGTCTCTCTGTCTCCACAGATGCTGCCAGACCAGCTGAGTTTCTCCAGCAATTTTTCCAAGTGTTCAAGTCAAGTCTTCAGCCAGAGCCCAGTGAAGAATGAGCACAGATCAATGATGAAGAACGGGTTACCTGGCACCATGAGGTTGATGGAATTACTGGTCACATTAAATATCATTCCACCAGGACCCCGGTTGATCACAACGCACTGGTATTGACCTTGGAGATGGGCCTGGAAGGATTCAATTGCCAGCTCTCTCCTGTCCAAGCTAAAGTTGTAGTTCTGACTGGCATTGTTTAAGGCTTTCTGTTGGACGTACCACTGAAAGTCGGGTCCTGTGCCTTGGCTTAATACACACTCCAGAACAAGACAACTCCCAATCGGAACCTCCGTTTTATTGGCTCGGGAGATGGGGAAAACCCCTGCAACAGGAACTGGAACAAAACAAAGACAAATAGGAAATAAATGATCAGGTGTTGAATTTGTCTATTTTGTTTTACAGATGTTATCTTCAATTACAGTATAATAATGGATGGAAAGGAGAAATAAATCGAACAAGATTTCACATTGTTGCAAAGGTGACCGGTCTCAGGCTGTTGTAAAATCTACACTTTGAAAGATTTGCGTTAACTATGGATGGCCAAATGGTATATCCAATTCACCCCCTTAACATTCAGTGATGTTACTGTCACTATTCCCCTCCCCAATCCCCACACAATCAACATCCAGGGGGTTATCGTCGTGAGAGAATCTCACCAGCACCCCCTTGATGTTCAATGGTGTTAACATCACTGAATCCCCCATTATCAACATACTGGGAATTACCTTTGAGAGTGAATCTAACCATTGGCCCTTGACATTCGATGGTATAACCATCACCGAGTCCCCTATTATTAACATCTTGGGGGTTACAATTTACCAGAAACTGAACTGGGCTCACCATATCAATATAGTTACTACAATAGCAGGTCAGAGGCTGGGAATCCTGGTGCAAGTAACTCACCTCTGGACTCCCCAAAACATGCTCATCATCAACAAGGTGTAAATCAAGAGTGTGATGGAATACTCCCCACTTGTCTGGATGAGTGCAGCTCCAACAGCACTTGAGAAGCTCAACACAATCCAGGGGCAAAGCAGCCCACTTGGTTGGCACCACATCCACTTCCTCCACCACCAACAATGCTCAGTTGCAGCAACCCTATCTACAAGATGCACTGCATATTGTCACCTTCCAAACACATGTCCACTTCAATCTGGGAGGACAAGAGCTGCAGGTATGTGGGAACACCAACCCCCTGCAAGTTCCCCCCTGAGCCACACACCATGCTGACTTGGAAATACATCAGCCATTTCTTCAGTGTCACTGGTTAAAATCTCTCATACTGCTAACATTGCATGTACATTAAATTCTCATGGGCTGCATGTGGAAGAGAGGGTGCTATCAAGCGGAATTCATGATGAGCAATCTGTGATGGCCGAGCCAATGATATTCAGGTCCTATCGACAAATTATCTCCATTAAAAAAGGTCAGCTTTGAGGCTCAGTGCAGTCCCTTGGTTGAATCAATTGAATGGGAAACAGGTCAAGCTCAGTGCTTTATCTCGCTGTTCCAGATCATTACCCTTTCCCCACCCTGAGGGGATGCAGAGGCTCTGGGGAAGCTGATCCTGTGGCGATTTCTGCAGGGACAGCACAAAATATCAAATGGTTTCAAGAAGGATTTTGATATAGTTCTCAGGGCTAAAGGGATCAAAGGGAGAAAGTGAGGGGAAGAGGCGACTAAGTTGGATGATCAGCCCTGAACCCATTGAATGGGTGGAGCAAGTGGGATAGCCTAAATGGCCTCCTCCTCTTGTCCATGCTTCTAACTTCCTCTGATGGAGTGCTTAACATGGAATTGTAGCATCATAGAAGTCTGCAGCACAAAGAAATGCCCTTCGGCACATTGAATCTGCACCTGTGAAAAGCAACCACCTCTCTATTCTTTCATCCATTTTACCAATACTTAGATGCATAGAGTCATATAGCATGGAAACAGGCCCATTGGCCCAACTCATCTATGCTGAGCAGGTTTCACAAACTCATCGAGTCCCATTTGCCTGCATTTGGCTCATATTCCTCAACATCTTTCCTGTCCAAATGTCTTTTAAATGTTGTATTTGTACTCACCTCCACCACTTCCTCTGGCAGCTCATTCCATT